CCGTGGCTGAGGCTGCGGCCGCCATGTTCCCGTGTTAATAACTGCTGCCTGGTTGTTTATTTCAATGGAGATCCTCCCCCAACTCCCTCCTCCTCCTCCTCCTCCTCCACCACCTCCTCCTCCGCGTCTCCGCACTTGCGGAGAGAGACACAGACCGCGCGAGCTCGGGAGCAGGGGAGGGGGCTCGCGGGCCAGGCCGTCCCTCCCTCCGCCTCCCCGGCCGTGGCCGCCGCCAAGTCTTGTCACTGGTGAAAGGACAGGGCGGAAACTTGCCTCCTGCGCCCCGGGGGCCGGGGCAGAGGTGCGCCGAGGGCTCTCTGGGGGGCAGACCCTGGCCGCAGGGTCCGCAGCATCTCCGTGGGCAGAGTCCTCAGAGAAGGCGACCGGGGTGGGGGGGTGGAGAGTGAGGGGAAAGGGGACAAAATGGGTGACTGTGGCAGAGGGAGGGTGACCTAGGGGTGAGTGGAAGTGAAGGGAGAGTAAACAGATGACTCCATGGGAGGGCAAAGGGCAGTGCCAAAAAAGAAAGCGAGCCGAAGGGGCACGCGGGGGCTGCCGAGCGGCGGCGGCGGGATCTTGGGGCTGCGGACCGCGGGGAAGATGCCCCCGGGCCAAGGTCGGGGCGAGCCCAGGGTCAGGTTCGCCTGGGAAGCCTCCCGGCCGGGCCCCTCCGCCAGCAGCTGCACCCCTCGGGCGCACCTCGCACCCCCGCGTCCGCCGCTGCGCCCTGGAGCCTCCCTCTGCTTCGGCGAAGACCGTCGTCTCCGGTTGCCGCCCAGTCTCTCCAGGGGATGGAGGGGTGCGCCGGGGGGAGGCGAGTTTAAAGGGGTGCCACCCAGCAATTGCGTGACCAAGGCGAAGCGCACACTGTGAATCCTAGCCTAGTTGAGCATTCTTGTCACGACCAGAGTCACAAAAGTTTTTTATTGGATAGTCCGCTTTCTAGACATCAGAAAGTGGTGTTTGGGGGACGCAGGAGAGCACCACCGAAACCGGAGGACTCGCGTTGAACCATTACTGGGGCCAGTTTCATGCTTTGGAGAAGCAGGTTCTTCCGAACTT